GCTGCTTGTTTAAGTGAAAATAAATCAATGTTTTGGGGGGGTTTTTTGCGCTAATAAAGTTGTGGAGTTGTAAAGTACTTCGTCTCGCGTCAATTATATCGTCAGTTATATTGTTATCGCAAGCTTTCAAATATATATCATGACAAATATTTTTTGCCATATTGCGCTGCCCTATCGCTGACTACAGTTTTGAGTTTAGCTTTTTGCGTGTAGCCATCTTGGTTTTTTTCTGAGCGAAAAGCTAACATATTTGGAGCTAGCTAGCTTGTTAATAATGTATTGAAATGTAAAACAGTCACTGCAGAGGTGCATGTTCGTGGCAATCCTCAGCACTCTGTCACCATGGTTCTTAACAAAATCAAAAAAACACTACTTTCTCTCACCATTACTGGGAAATATAACTCCTCATGACCACATCATCATAGGTGGTAACCATAACCCTACCTTAGCCTGAAGCGTTGGAGCAAGGCAAAACTGACTTTTTAAAAAAAACATATCAATGCTTTGATTTTCTCAGTTTGAATAATTGTTTTATTATGATTGCACAAGTGTTCGTGCTTTTAAAAAAAGCTGTTGTAAGTAGGAAAGCTTCTCAAGCTGTAACATAGAAAAGGAGCTTTGGTCAGAGTGGTAAATGTGCTGATGCAGAGCTGAGCTGGGGCCGGGTGGGGTTGGTGATGCCACAGGTTAAATTTAGCTCAGCGGCTCGCAGTGAAAGGATGGCAATGGAGAGGTTTGAGCTTTTTAGCCATAGCAACATCTGTGACAAACTGTGCAGTAATTGAGTTGACACTGACCTGCAGGGACTGGCTGAACTCCCAGTCACTGTGATTTTCTGTGGATGGGTTCTGGACACATGCAGAGTGTACAAGAGAAACAGAGCTGGGAGAAGACCAATCCCACACCACAAGGGGACCCTGGGTAAACGTCTGTCAAACATCAGGTTTATGGTTATATTGCTAGAGGCGTCAACCGAGCCTGGTTTCACCTGGCACACGCTGCTTTCTGGCTCCCTCTGATGGTTCATTTACATCACAGCATTTTCCACACAGTGTTTGCCACTCGACAACCCCAGGCGATACTCTAATTCAGCTATTGTGCTAATCTGAATAGCAGTAATTTGTTGCTTTTAAGAGATTTAGTGTTTCTCTGTCAAACCTGGCTGCAGCAGAATGTGGGAAAGATTTCAAAAATCTTTTGATTTCATCAGGAAGCAGCTCTGAAGTTCGAAAACACAACACTTCATTATTCTATCCATGGTTTGAAAGCCTAACCTTTATTCTTCTGAACATATCTCTTGTCATTGTGGTTGAATAGCTCAGTCTTTGTCTCGTCTTAAGGCTTTTGGCTTGTCCATGTGGACAACTGCAAATTTCAGTTGAACCTGAAGTTCAAAAGCGTTTCATAAGCATGGACTTTTTCTTTGGTCGACACTCTTTCTTAGTCCGTGGTAGCGTAAACAGCTGGAAGGCCAGTGGACTGTGGACAGCGACACTGGCCTTCCAGCAGTTTCCAGCTCTTGGTAGACTTGATCTTGTTGGTTCCTGGTTTGTTCCTGAACATCCTAATCAATTTTGTCTTTACGTACAATTCTTTGAACCGATGGTCTGCACCTGTTTAGAAATGACCCATTGAGTTTCTGGAATGGCCTTCCCAATGCCCCATACTCAACCCTATGTTAAATTTGTGGGCTGTGCTTAAACGCCAGATCTGTGCCAGGAAAACAACAATTTTTATATACCAATTCTGCCAACAAGGGTCATTAAATATCCAGCCAAAATAATGCAGAAGCTAGTTGATGACTACCAAAAACATATATTTGAGGGGCAGGTTTCTAAGGGGCATTAAACCAAATAATAATGTACGTATACATTTGAAAATGTGCGTTTACTTGGATTAGAGAAAAGTCAAAATAAGTTCAAACTTGTGGGCCTAATTCTTGTTTTATTTTTTATTTCAAAAGATTAAAGATGTACCCTGGACAGTCAAACTGGAAAAGAACAGTTCAAATAAATGACACTGTGTATTATCATCTTGAAAAAGAATATATGGATAACAAAATTATTCTTCTTTTGATGCCAAAAGAAGCCAGAGCTCCAAAATGATGCTCTAAACATTAGCAGTACGGTAAGTATAAAATTAAGAACATTAAAAATGAGAATTTAGTGAAACATTAGGAATAACACTGATTATCTCTTCTTTGTGGAATCTGTTAGTGGGTGCATTTAAGAAGTGAACATTTTGTCTTTAAAGCTGACATGTTAGCAGCAGGAAAAACTGGTAAATGTAAGGATTTGAGAGAGTTTGACTAAGGCTGAACTGTGCCGGCTCAATAACGAAGTCAGAGTATCTCCAATGCTGCCACTCCTGTGCCGTGTTCCTGGCCCGCAGTGGTCAGCATCTATCAAAAGTAGTCCAAGGAAGGAAATGGGGTGAACCAGAGACAGGGACATGGGCAGCCAAGGCTCACTGATGTACACAGGGAACAAAAGCTTTCCCATATGGTCTGATCCAACATCTACTAAAGCATATATAGAATACACAGTGCATGACAGTTTGTTGCGAATGGGGCTGAATAGATGCAGACCAGTCAGGCTGCCCATCCTGACTCCTGTCCACTGCCCAAAGTGCCAGCAATGGGCAAGCGAGCATCGGAACTGAACCCCAGCACAATGGAAGAAGATCGGCCTCATCTGATGAATCACTTGTACATCACGTGGATGGCTGGGTGTGTGTTGTTTGTTGTGTTGGAGGAAGACAAGCTGGCCAATGCAGTGTGATGCTTTGGGCGATGTTCAGCTGGGAAACCTTCATCATTGTGGATGTTACTTCAACTCGTACCACCTAGCTAAGCTTTTTTGCAGACCATGTACACCCTTTCATGGAAACAATATTCAGCTGGATAATGCAACCTGTCAGAAAGCAAAAGTGTTCAGGAAGCTTTGAGGAGCACAGCGAGGTGTTGATTTGGACTCCAGATTTCCCTCAATCCATTCGAGCATCTCTGGGATGTGCTGGACAAACAAGTCCACGGGGGCCCCACCTCACAGCTTACAGGACTCTGTTGCTAACATCGTGGTGTCAGATACCACAGCACACCTACAGGGGTCTAGTGGAGTCAATGCCTCAATGGGACAGTGCTATTTTAGCAGCAAAAAGGGGACCAACACAATGTTAAGCAGGCGGTCATAGTGCTAATTGCTAGCTCTTACCACTTGACTTCTGTAAGTAAATGCTGCCACTAAGTACGATCAGGGTAAGATCAGCTGTCTGTTTGTCGGCACCTGTAACTCACAGTAGCTGTGTCGTTCAGAAAAGATGAAAGAAAACAAGGCAGATTAGTCGGGTTGTGTCGAATGGTTTAAAGTGGCCTGACAGTCATTAGTGCTGTGAAATAAGGCAGCCGTAGACACTGGTGCTCTTGTGTTTTGATGCACTCCATCAAATCGTATTGTGTCTTACAAATGATGTGAGTCATTCATTTAGTGAATTAGATTCAGCTGTAGTGAATCAGCGTAGCAGAATTTAAATGAGTGCAATTCAAATAGAGCCATCTCTCTGGCTTTAATGTCTTTCTGTAACACACCGTGCGTCTCCAAACGCCCTCAGTGTAAAATTATTTTTAGTCCTCTCACTCTGATGACGCCGACATCACATGCAGGGCCTCTAAGGCTCAGAGAGCCGACTCAGCCATGGTGAAGCTTTACACTTTCTTTGGGTTCGCTGATTGGCTGCTTTCCAGTTAGGCAGCCAACCACAGTCGAGTGGAGTGAGAAGCCTCTCGGGCTGTCTGTCTGAGGATTAGTTCCCTCTGTGTTATGTCAACACTGGGATCAAATTGTTGCTCAAATGGATTTTCCATGATAAAAGCATTACTTCTAAACTTTGTGCAGGTTTAAGGAGATTCTAAATGCATGTCATGTACAGTTGTACCATGGAGAGAGACTGAGTGCTTACTTGATTAGGGGAGGAGGTTTGTGTGTGGAGTAGGGCTGCCACAAACGATTATTTTGACAGTCGACTAGTCACCGATTATTTTTGCGATTAGTCGACTAATCAGATCATCATCCATTGGACATAAAACGTACAGCTTATTGCACCAGCAGCATCCGCTCTTATATAACTATCATTAGCTTACAGCTTTAAGTGTTTAAGGTCTGTGCTAACTTAAAATAAAGACAAGATGATAGTTTTTTAAATTTTAATGAAATTTGCAGATTGTTTCGGTGAAGTTTAATAAACTCCTTGCTATCTAAAATATAACAGGACACCGGAGTAAATTCTCGAGCATCTCACACTTCTGATAATCAGCTGTCTGCTTGACGTTTATTCAGCTGTGTAAAAACTATAACTTTAATCTCAGCCAAACCGATTTACTCAGGAACAAATAAAATACTGAAAAAAGCCAAACAATAACATTTTTAAGTTATCTAAGTGACTTATATATCATGTTTAACCTGAGTAGCGAAAGACGGCGGTGGGTTTGAAAACGATTTGCCGGGAGTCCGGTGTTCTCACCGCTCTAGTTAGCCTAGCCCCCGGCTAGCTATCGAGCTAGTGGGTAACAGACGTCTCCGAAAACGTCGGAGCGCTTTTGAAAATATGTGGTGTCTTGATAAACTGAGCAGATATTTGAGGTTTACACAGCTACATTCTCACCTGAAAATATGTTAAACGTTTATTTTGTGACCCAGAAAGAATAATAAGAGTAATATTAAAACTAACTAGCTGCCGCCATTGTTGGAAACTGAGCTGGGCTGCGCTATGAATTCTGGGACACAGCTTCTTCTTCTTCGGGGTTTAACTAACTAATCGTGGCAGCCCTAGTGTGGAGCTTTCTGTGCACATTTATACTGTGCTTTTATTCATTTAGTTAGTCACATGTGTACTTTTTGGCTTTTGACTGTGATGTAAAGCTTAAATATTTAAATAGATGTATTTTAAAAAATGTCACGAATCACGAAGTACCAATGCAAACTGTAAATGTAGAGGATATACAGTATGGCAATGTGGCTTATGTGAACCCTAATGAACATGATCATGACATGCTTGGTCCTCAAGCATTGATTCTAAGGGGCGGTGCAAAGCCCTAATCCAAAAGTAAGCTCTAAAAAAATGTCGTTTATCACGGGAGTTACGTTCTAAAAATAACCCAAAATAGCCAACTTTATTTTTTACAATGATTATAGATGTTTTAAAGCTGTAAAACCCCTCACTACTCACTTTATACACTTTTCTCAGACAGACATGAACATTTTCACACTTTTCTCTCTTGTTTAAACACAAAGTTCAAACCATCCATCTTCTTCCGCTTTATCCGGGGCTGGGTCGCGGGGGCAGCAGCCTAAGCAGAGAAGCCCAGACCTCCCTCTCCCCAGCCACCTCCACCAACTTAACACCAAGGCGTTCCCAGGCCAGCCGAGAGATATAATCTCTCCAGCGTGTCCTGGGTCTGCCCCGGGGCCTCCTCCCGGTGGGACATGTCTGGAACACCCAACCCCAGGAGGCGCCCAGGGGGCATCCTTGTCAGATGCCCGAACCACCTCAGGTGGCTCCTTTCGATGTGGAGGAGAAGTTCAAACCTTCATAGAAAAATAAGCCCAGTATTATAGAATGAAGCCAAAGATCAAACCCTGTTTTCAGGTGCAGAACATGGGAACAGAGCAGCTGCAGAGAATTCAACATAATGAATCAATGGTACAGAAGTAGAGAAAGCGAGAAGAATGAGCTGAGTAAAGTTTGACTTATCTGACTGTTTGGTTTCACTTAATGCGCCTTATAATCGGGAAAATGCACTAACTTCTACCTTACTTTAGCATGTCTTTTTGTGCGATGGTTAGCATCTTCCTCTGCCTGTTGGGTGCTACCGCAGAAGCCTTTGATGGTACAAAACGTTTTGTCGACATTGTTGTGTTTGTTGGGGAGAAAACTTACAAAGGCTACGTTCACTCTGCAGGTCTTGATGCTCAATTCCGATTTTTTGATCAAATCCGATTTTTTTTGTCTGCTCGTTCACACTACAAATAAAATGCGACAGCAAACGCGCTCTAGTGTGAACGCTCAAAGCGGC